TTTGGGTTAAGTGCAGACTATCAAACGGGGCTGGGGGAAAGGGGCAGAATGTGCCCTTTAGCTGGGAAGGGAGGTGAGGAGGGAAGCAGGTGGGTAACCAACAAAGCCAGCATTGCTGACGCCTGCCCTGGGGCCCGCTTTGCACCAGCTGCGTGCAGGACCTTCATGGACCTGACGCCTGGTTCCTCACTGTCCCGCTCCGTGAAGCTGCGGGTGGAGGATGCACACGGGTGCATCGAACCCAGAGGAGAAAATCCAGGTTTAGTCTGACGGAGCAGAAAGAGCGCTTTAAAACCAGGGTCGGTGTGCTGGGAGGAGCTTTGGCATTGTTCCCTGGAGGCTGAGGAACAGCTGGGACACAGATCCTCCTCTGCAGGCACTGCGGGACCGTGCGCTCCAGCCCAAACCAAGGGGTGTTTGCAGGAGGGGTAACTGGGCTTCCACGGTACTGACCCTGCTGAGACTCGAGCTGCGATCCCCTCCACCCCGTCCGAATGCACGTGCTCCCCACCCTGGCTGCACGAGACCTCCCTCGCTCTCCGCAGGGGGACACCAGGCCACCCGCAGCCACGGAGCCCGCTGGTGCCAGCCCTCCTTTGAGGGCTCCTGATGCAGAGAAGGCGGCAGAGCACAGAGCAGAGAGACCTTCTGAGAAAGTGACACCTTCAAAGCAAGGCGTCACCAGGGAATTCAAACCCAGGTTGGATGGGGCTTTGAGCAACCTGGTGTAGTGGAGGGTGTCCCTGCCCATGGCAGGGGGGTTGGAACTGGATGATCTTTGAGATCCCTTCCAACCCAAACCCTTCTGTGATTCTGTGATTCTAATTCAGGGGGTGTTCCTGACCCTCAAAAACAGTGATTTACAGGAAAGACCGCTCCTTGAGTGATGATCCACAAAGACCGGAGTTCTCCGTGTCACACTTCAGCTGAAGGTCCCCTCACCTCCCTGCCAGCAGCTCTGCCAGGAGGCAAACATGCCACCCGAGATCTGCTGAGCCCTTCAGTACAGGGACCCTGTGGTGAAGCCACAGGCCGTGACTCAGGAGCCCAGGCTGGACACTGGCACTGCCAGGTGAGCTCAGCCAGCAAGCGGTGGGTCTTACCGGTTAACGGCCACCACAGGCGCTCCCCGCCGGGCCCG